TGTTGCTCCTGCTTCACCCTCGGCCGCCGACCACCGCTGCTGCCACTGCCTGTCTTTGCACACCGACAACCACTGCTGCCACTGTATGCATTCTCGCACCGATAGTCCAAGCTGCCACTGCCTGTCTTATCTCACAAGCTGACCCCAGCAGCATTGTAGGTGATGGTGTTTGGCTCGCTCCTGTTGCCACTGCCTGCTTTCTCGCACCGACAGGCGTTGCTGCCACTGCCCGCCTTCTCGCAAGAGCTGCCACAAACAGTATTGGCTGATGTCGTATTGCTCTTGCCTTGCTTCGGGCATCGGCGACCGTTGCTGCCACTGCCTGCTTTTGCGCACCGACCGGCCATGCTGCCGCTGCCTGCCCTCTCGCAAGAGCTGACCCCAATGGTGTAGCTTATGATGTCTTGCTCATGCTTCACGCTCCTGCAACGACAACCGCTGTTCCCGCTGCCTACTTCTGCGCACCGACAGTCCTGCTACCATTGCCTGCAATCTCACATTGGCAGTCCGTGGTGCCACTGCATGCTTTCTCCTACGAGCTCACCCCAGAAGCCTTGTAACTAATGATTGTTTGCCCATCCTTCGACATATCTCTGAGCAGCCTTAGTTCGTGCTGCCACTGCCCGCATTTCTCGTACGCACTGACACTAGCAGCATAGATGATGACGTTTGGCCCCCGATGTGAGCCGAGCATCTCTCAGCACCGCATCCGCGTTCTTCCACTGCCCGCCTGACACGCACGCACTGTTCTTTCATGCGCCGATCCCAGCGCTGTAGCTGATGACGTGATCGCCAGCTTGGTCGTACACGGCGCCTGGTCCCCCAATCCTGGCGGAGGGCGTTCGGCGTCCGTTGCGCCTTCTCTGTGTCCCCTCGCGCACGGCAACATTACGCCACTGGGCGGGGCTTCCAGGAGAGGGGGCGAGCAGGAGGAGGAGAAGGAGGGCGAGGAGGGGAGGAGAGAGGGTGGGGGCCCATGCTTGCGCCCGCCAACGACTGGGCCGCGCACGCCATTGACCGTCTGGGGCGGGGTTATCATGCTGCGGCTCTCGATGGCGGCGCCATTTTCAACCCCCGCCCCCCGCGCACGGACAGCTGGTGGAAATTGGTGGGGGAGGAGGACGACCAGTGTAAGCCCAGGACGCATCAACGATGTTGCAAGACACCTCCCCCCAAGTTCTTTCTTCACATCTACAAGGAATTCTCTTCATTGCGGGAATTGCCCCATAGAAAGACAACTGTCTGAGAACATTCAATATTGCCAAAGCACTATTCTTGGGACTTCAACATTGCGAGCCAACGTGACTGTTGCGTCCTAACAGCCTTAATTCGTCCCAGAAGGCCAGTCATTCCTTGGACTCCAACACCGCGGATCAACATCACTGTTGCGTCCTGCGAATCAGAAACCGTACCAGGAGGGACGCCGTGCCTTGGACTTCAACCTGTCGAACCCTTGGAATTGTCGCAAACTTTTAAGACGAATGTCAGCGGCACTAAGGCGAGAGCCACATGGCGAAAAGGAGCCGCCCTCCATGTCTGACAATGCTGCTCACGTTTAAGAGGAATGCGCGCAAAGCTAGCCATATTCTGGTAACGGCCCGCCCTCCATCCTCGAAGCGGGTGGTAGTGTTTAAGACGAGTGTGCGCGGCGCCCAGGCGAGAGCCGCGGCTTGAAATTGGCCCGCCGTCCATCCCTGAAACAGCTGCAACTGTTTAAGGCGAAGGCGCGCGGCGCTCAGGCGAGAGCCACTGTTTGAAAAAGGCTTGCTACCCTGTCTTTGAAACTGTTTACAGACCTTGAAGACAGATTGCGTGCGGCGCGAAAGCGAGAGCCGCCGTCTGAAGAGGGCCTGCCCTCCATCCTGGAAGCTGCTGCAAGCTGTCAAGGCGAGTGCGCGCGGCGCTGAGGCGAGAGCCATGAGAACGACCTGCCCCCACCCTTGAGGGACCACAGCCGGGGAGGAAGTCGAAGGCGAGACGCCAAGCCCGCCCTAACGACACTCCTGGGGGTGCGTCGGGGAGGAGCTACTGCAGAGGCCTCCGGCCTGTGCCGCCGATCCGGGACGCCCGGGGACGCTCCGTGCGCTCGAGTCCCGTGGAACAGTCTGTGAGCCATACCTCGAGGAGGCAGGAGGGAGGATGAGGATGGAGGAGGAGGAGGAGGAGGAGGAGGAGGAGGAGGAGGAGGAGGAGGAGGAGGAGAGGAGGAGGAGGGGGAAAAGAGGAGGGGGAAGGCGAGGAGTGATTGGGCAGTGGCAGTCGCCCTAGGCAGGATGTGCTGAATGGAATATGTTCGTAGCCTCTGTCGGTCGAGTTTGTTGGCGGGCTGGTTGCCAGACGGGTTGGCTCGTTGGTTGGTCGTTGGGCGGGTCGCAGCGTGAATGTT